GATGTAAAACAGTAACAAATTAATTAAACACTTAATATGAAAAGGGTCTATTTTCAGTCACCCCAAAAATACACTTTTTGGCTAATAAAAAAGTTAGTGGATGAGTGCTTTAAACTAATAGTGCTCCAAATTCAGCACACCCTAAATCACTTTTATGACTCAATTAAGTATTTTTTTTCTTACCCTCACAGCTTTTCACTTCACAAGACATTTATTGACTGAAGTCATGTGGATTAATTATTATTTTGATATTTTTATCATTTTCTCAAAACTCTACATCTTTGATGCCTGAAGGTGAGTACATTTTTAGCATGTTCATTTTGTGGGTGGACTCATTTATGGACTGTCAGATGAATCTTGAATCTTCCACATAATAATGTTTTCAAGTTCATAAATGTGACCCTGGACCACAAAACCAGTCATAAGGGTAAATTTTTCGAAATTGAGATTTATGTCCAGGATCACAAATATGAGAGGACATATATTACACATAGGCCTACAGCCTCAGATAAATAAAGTAAAATAATATCTTTAAGCATGATATGCCTGCCTAACCCAAAGCTGTATCAGTCTTGACCATCTTGCTAGAGTATTCCCTCCATTTGATTTTGCCCTTCAGCCATGTTTTAGTGATGACTACCTCCAGAACAAATTACCACTGCACTAAAAATGTAATCACTTAAAAAGTGAGAAAGCATACTTTTTGTTGTAGACCCATGCAGTGCTAGTAGAAAGGAAAAATAGGGGGAGGACTCTTTTGAGGTTTGTGCTTCTAACTCAGGAACCACAAATGAAATAGGTTTTTCTTGGTCAGGGGAAATGATTTGCACCTACTGGAAAATGTTAGCAAATGCAAGACGGCTGGATATATGCCTCACTGCTGGGATATCTTAGGGGGGAGGGAGGATGGTGGTCGTCTACTTGAATGTGGGGCTGAGACATTTGTTTACTTTCCAGACAGTTTGGCTAGGAGGCTCCAAAAGGGGACCGCCATGGAGAGCATGATTTTCCAGAGCTTCGTAAAACAGGGGAGGGCTAAGGTCAGGGGTGGCGCTTCAAAATGGTTTTAGTATAGAAATTATCCTGGGGGGGAGATGAAAGACTCAAATGAACAATATTCAGATTCACATTTTGCCTTCCTGCAGTTTTGATCTCATTCAATAATAGAGGTGCACACAGGTAGTTTTGGAAGTATGCATGCTTTTCAAAGTAGACAAAATAGTGTGTCACACACTTAAATGCTCAGAAGAGTTATGACTCAGGTCAGGTCAGTCTCAGAGCATAAACCACATTTTCTGAACCCGAGTTTGCTGGTTTGCTCATGAGCAAAAGAAATGTATGGCATTTCCATGTGAACCTACCAAAAAGGTCACCAATCCAATGCTTTATTTAAAAGCAGTCTGTTGTCTTGAGGATGTTTCATTATTTTACTTGATTTACTGTTGTAATTTTATGTAATAATTTTATAGAACAAAGAGTTTCAAATGATATAATAATTTTATGACAGAATAACAGCTTTTACTTTACTTTTTTGTTTTGAGAAAATCCTGGGCTCAAATTTTTGTAAAAACTAAATGGCATTTGAACAAAATTAAACACTTGACAAGGTGAGATTCAGATTTCAGGGTGACGTTGCTACAGACAAATGGTCAAAAAAGTAAATCTTTTATAAAACTCCTAGTCATGCTGCTGATGTCATGTTAAAAGACTTGTACCAGTGTCCACCTCCAGCAGTAGTCACGCCCCTCCCCCTCCCCCAACCACCCTCCATTACAGGAATGTGTGGTTAGTGTAGTAGATGGTCTCTTGCCTGTCCCATTGTAGGGGTGTGATTGATAATTTCAGTGCTGCTAAAAAAGTTAAAAGCACAAAACCTATGATAGCCTTATGTAAACATTCCTGGGTGAACACAGGCATTTGCCGTATTATCTTAAGAAAACTTACATGGAGAAAGAAAAAAAAAAGACTTTTTGACATTTTTAAACACTAGATTATTGAGAAAAATGTTGATGTCAATCTGATGTCACACTGCGTTATTCTGACAGCTGATTTTTTTTATCATAGGTCTTGAAATTGATGATTACATGCTTAAACACATTGCATGTCTCTGCAGAGAAAGTTGATTCATTCAAAATGTGTCTATATTATTCTTTATGTGACTGATTGATGGCAGAACGAGGATAAATGATAGCCCCAAGCAAGTTTTCTTTCAAATAGCTGTTAGCTGAGTAATGACAGCCAAGCATAGCATTATTTTTTGGTCCGTTTAGCATAGGTGTGTTGCTACTTGCAGCTCTGCATGTTATGTTCCCTCAATTCAGGGAGCATGGAACAACCACATGCATATAAACTCCATTTTGCAGCTTCATTGCATATAAATAACATACATTTGCATTGCTTCTTTTTGCTTTACTCCCTCACAATTCAATTAGCATTCATGAGAGAAAAGTTGTTACGTGGCATATCAAGAAATTACATGTTTCAGTGTTTGTGTTTATGGATTTAAGCCGCCATTTCTAATACTGGGATTGTGTATTGCTCTCCTTCTCCTCCTCCTCCTCCAATAAAAAGAACAATTGGTTAGTGAAACCATTGCAAAATTGAGAAGAGACACATGTTTCTAGTTTCTCTCAAAACTGCCTGTGCTTGGCACAAGTTCATTTTCTTCACTAAAGTAACAACATCTACTCAAAAACTTCCATCCTCATGTCAAGTACTTGTTCAGTGTTCACAAAATATAATTGTTTTACATCCTTTTCTTTTTGAAGGAGCTTGAAGCTTTTTATACAAATCAAACAACAGTTTTTTTCATGGTTTGAGAAGCATAGTGAGAAATGCATGTAAAGCAGTGACTCTGTCTGGGGGGTTGCTGTAAAGGGAGCTGGGGCTTTAGTGTGTGAAAGGGAAATGCTAAAGCCATGATGAATAGGATATGTATGACCTCAGTGCTCCGATCTGTTCTCCACATTGGCTACGTGTTGCTTGTCTAATTGAACGGTTTTCTGGAAGAAGTGAGGACTTGCTGTTGGCTTGAGAAAGTTTTTTAAATGCTAAATCATGCATATATATATATATATATATATATATATATGTATATATATATATATATATATATACAGTATATGTATGTATATATATATATATGGATATGTATATATATCTTAAAGTAGTTGTTATGCACCTATATGACGTGGATAGCTTTTGTTTTAAACTTTTTAGAAATGTTAAAAGATTAGCTCATCCAAAAAAAAAAAAAAAAAGTCATAGTGTCATTCTGTAATAGAATGTTCCAAACCTCATTTGCCTTCCATAAAGGGGAGCAGAACAGCCTTTACAACAGACTTTGTTCATTTGTGTTTTAGTACCATTGTTGATCGCTATACCATGATATTCTATAATATTGTGTAATTTATGCAGTGTTTTAATATTATAAATGACTGGGGACTGGGAATGTAAGGGAGGGGTGGTAGTTTTGAGCGCAGTCTTTTTGTACATCATTGAGTTCATCATTGGAAAATGCCCTCATGTTTTTTTATTTATTTATTTTTTTCATAGGAGGGCAGGGACAAGCATCAGATTTCATAAAGAGTTTAATTTTCTCTTAATGCTGAGACTGCTTTTTTTCAAGCCCATAATGCAGAGCACAATAAATGCATTTCATTTTCAGACACTTCCATTCCTCGGTGGAGATTTCACAGAATGTATGTAATTTAAATGCTGTTTTGCATGCGAACTTGCATCAAAATCCATAGAAGATTTCTTTACAGGACTTGTAAAAAATATTTCCAACATTTCTAATCACAAGCATTTTCAAATCATTTATATATTCACTCTCCAATTATATTTACCCATAACAAACAAGGATAATGAAAGAGGAGACACATTTGTATCACTGCAGAACAAAATGTTATATTTATTCAGATCGTCTTACGTCTCTCTAGGCCATCCTCCCATGTAAACACGTCTGGTTAGGTGTTTATTCAGGGGTTCTTTCTGTTGCCATCCTCATAAAGTGCAGACCTGTCAAGTCTGAATGTGCCGACTTGATAAACGGCTCACATGTGTAAAAATAAAACACCTACATTCTGCTGTTGTTTACGGAAACAATAGGATGCAGACAAATCTTGAGCCCATGCTATAACATTGTTGTAGAACAACTTTGGTGATCCAAACTGAACATGCCAAAAAAGGAGAGAAATGCTTTAAGACCAGAATAAACACAGCAAACATAGAGGACAGATGGAAATTGTAAAACCAGTTACTAGAAAATGTTGGAAATGGATTTATGGTGTATTATACATACTGAAGAGACTGAATGGATTAAACATGTTCTCTTCAGTGTTGTGGTATTGCCATTTGCTGTTCGAGAGTGCTGCAGTATGTGAACTCTTGGGATTGGAATTTGGCTTGACTTTATGCAGATGTTGTTTGTGCTGTTGTGTCGCTGTTTCTCTGGCTATTCTGTATGCTTTGCCTTCTTATTCCTAATTCAACTCTATGTTCTGTTCGAGCTGTTTCAGCATTTTATTTGTCTTTTGTGATCACACTTCTGCACAACAATATTATGTGTCTGTCAATTGCTCTTTGGATTTTTGGAACATTCTGTTTACCCTTAACCAATCAGTGTTTTTTTTTGGTTGTCGCATAGACTGACAATTAAAAAAAATAATTAAATACAGTACATACAGAATGGGGGATGATTTGCAGCAATAACACAACTGCAGTCTGACATGCCCAAAGGAAGCTCGCCTTCTGATTCTTTTTTTCCCATAAAGGGGAGCAGAACAGCCTTTACAACAGACTTTGTTCATTTGTGTTTTAGTACCATTGTTGATCGCTATACCATGATATTCTATAATATTGTGTAATTTATGCAGTGTTTTAATATTATAAATGACTGGGGACTGGGAATGTAAGGGAGAGGTGGTAGTTTTGAGCGCAGTCTTTTTGTACATCGAGTTCATCATCATTGGAAAATGCCCTCATGTTTTTTTATTTATTTATTTATAGGATTCATCTTTCTGTGTATTTAACTTCTTTGCTTCAATTTTCAAGTATTCCTTAATCTGTAAATCCAAAATGACAATATGTACATAAATAAAAAAACAATAATAATGAATAAATAAAAAAGTAGGTATGCAAAAGAAAATTCCTGATACAACAATTAACATACATTAACTGATGTCTATTACCTCTTCTTTTGTCAGGGCCTTGTCGTTGTCAGCGTCAATTTCTTTGAAGGCTTCTATGCTGCGTGGTCCTCTAGTTATGTACAACAGCTCCACCTCAAAGATCACTGTTGTATTTGGTGGTACAGGACCTATTCCATCACAGAATGGTGATTGTTAATAGTTTAAATCTTAAACCTTTTTTTTTTCATAATTAACTGATATTTAAATTAGGGATCTGTGGAAGAGAAACATTCTTTTCTTTCTTTTTTTTTTTTAAAGTTGTATTGTGTGATGGTATTTTCATTAAGTTGCTTTGGAATCACTGTGAAATGCTCTAAACAAGTAAATGTGAACTCAAATATACTATCCTATAATATTGGGTAGAAAAATATTTTACTCTTAAGCATAATGCAATGCGATGTTAATTATCTAGGACATAATTTATCAGTACAATGAGAATATAGTTATTCAAATTTCTTTAAGTTGGACTTTTAATAAATGATCTAAAAAATAATTCCATTTATAGGGGAAAAAAAACAAGAAAGTTCATTTAAAATATTGTCCAAATCAATGGAATTAAAAACAACACCACCCGCAACAAACATTACTCAAATAAAAAAAAATCATAATAAAAAAAAAAGCAAAACAGCGCCGCCTGTGTACGGGTTTGTATTAGTTTCTCTACGCATTTGAAGTGAAAAGACCTACCTTTTCCTTTCTCGCCGTATGCCAGAGATGGAGGAACTGTAACTTTTCTCTTCTCACCGGGACACATGCCGTCCAGCCCTAAATCGAGGCCCTTAATAACATCTCCAACACCTAACACAAACCAGTGTGGGTGACCCGTGTTTGTCGAACGACTAGAAAATACGAACAGCTTTACTTGGCATTGTCTGGAAATAAAATAACTTTAAGTGTTTATCTACAACTCGAATAAATACTAAATACACTGTTTACAAGCTCTCTCACTCTCTCTCAAAGCAGAGAACTATAACCTGCATTGAATAGCCTATTTGTTGTTGAATACAACAACTTCATTCGTAAAAATGCGCTTACCTGCAATAGAACTGAGATCCATCTTTAGCTAGATATCCATCATAATGAGCATTCAGCATGTCTCCTCTCTTGGCTTTCTGGCTGCAGTTTTCTGGCAGAAACCTAACTTCAATTTTAACATCTTGATTTGATCCATTTGCCCGAATCAATACGATGAAGGGATTGAGGGTTTGCAGAGACAAAATCAAACAAATGTAAAATGTAAGCCGCTGGGCCATCTTGCACATCTGTCGGCGTGGCGACGGGGCCGGACAGCTGACGCGGCAGTAGTGATGTCCGGTTCGCGAACGAATGGTTCGATTTAACCGGTTCTTCTTAGTGAACCGGTTGAACCAGTTCACCAAATCTGACTGAATCATTTGAAACGGTTCGCGTCTCCAGTAAGCATTAATCCACAAATTACTTAAGTTATTCACTCGAAAGAACCGGTTCGCGGAAAAGAACCGAACTTCCCATCACTACGCGGCAGTGCCGCCCAGTACTCAAACTAATCACTTCACTTTTGGGACGGGGTGTATGGAAGAATATCCAGGGCAACTTTCAAAAGGAATTTAAAATTGTATTTTCAATTGCGTTTTCCATATGTGGACGCATAAATCGTGACATAATCCAAATGCAATTGCAGGTCTTGCATTACCGTTTGCATTTTCGCTTTCGCGAACGCACAGTGACTGCCACATTTTAAATGCAAAAGCAAAGTCCATTTGCAGCTGTATTTCCCATGTCTTACGAGTTATGAGCCTATAGCAATATTAATTGCCATATTTGCTTTGCAACACTCTGCGTCGTGCATGTAACCTGCCAAAACTCAACTCTTTTGTATTTGAATTTCCGATGTCTACTACACGGAAAGCTGTCAATCAATGTGAGGGGCGGGACTATACTAGGGGCGTGTTTGTATTGGGAGGTGACGTCACTCATAGACGACCGTGCCGAATCTTTGATCAATGGAGGTAATAATCGGTAAAAGGCTCACTAAAGGCAGCTGCCAGTCAGTTCATGCCTGTGTGAACTAACAGACAACCTTCTTGGCACAATACATAATTCTGTCTTTTTTTTTTTTTTTACCCCAAATGCAGCGATAACCCCTGCTAACAGCGGGAGCAACAACGGTACGCACAATAAGTCAATATTCACTATTTTCCAAACGCTTTTCACCTGACTCAACATCTCTCACGGTCTCTCTCACTCTGATTGATGCAAGTGAGTAAACAGACAGTGCAATTCTACACTTATTACAGTACATTTTATTCCTTTTAATATGTAATAGAGAGCGCGTCACACCTACCTCAAGATCTTTTTACTGTTTGCACTCCGATTGATGCACATGATTTTTAATATTAATTAGGGCCGGGCAATATGGCCAAAAACATTATCACGATATATTATACGAATTACGATCATTTTTTTTTTCATATCAGTCGATATCGATAATTATCACGATAAATGTCAAATCTTTATTTCTTTCAAGTTTAAAGCCAGATTTTTGCTCCAAAGTGAAAGTTGTAGAAACCAGACCATTAATTTTCCTTAAAAACATAAATATCTAAATAGAAAAATGTATTTCTTAGTTTCTGCATGTTCTAATGAGTGATATTGTTTCAAATCAAGAAACCGGTTTGGGTTGCCTGATAATATTAATAATAATTGTATCACTTTTTGTCTCTTAGAAATGCACATTTGATAGTAGCTTGAGTTAGGATGCAGAGGTACATTTTTGTTCATTATCAAAATCAGTTAAGATCTCTAAAAATGGTAGCAACCTCAGTTTTATATAGTTCAATTGATTCTGACCAGGTTTTAATTAATTAATTAATTTGTTTATTTTTAAATTAAGCATCGGTCTCCCATGTTAACATACATTTAAATCATGATAAACACAGTTAAAACCACACATATAGCACCTCAATACCATGGTAAATGCAGTTTGAATTTTGATCCAAGCGGATAAACGGTCCGTGGGGCGCAATTCAAATGAGTCGCGCTGTTTCGTTCCGCTTTTGGCGCATAAACATTATATGGAACATTTATCGAACTCTTCATATAATTTTATCGAGGAACATTACATCGCGATAATTATCGTTATCGAATTATCGCCCAGCCCTAAATTAATTCACATTGGCTGTGGCATGTTCTGTGACAGCTGCACTGATTGGTGTAAAGTGAAGTCTCATCTAGGATCTCATCTAGGGCAGACAGAGTAGGAGTAGCAGCATTTTCTGTTTTGTCACCTGCATCAGTTGGAGTGTAAACAGACTGAGAGATCTTGAGGCAGGTGCTCTATTATAAGATATGAATAAGATATAGGTGGCAAATAGGTAAATGCGTGTAGATTTGCACTGTTTGTTTGCTTATGTGCCTCAATCGGAGTGCAAACAGTAAAAAATCTTGAGGCAGGTGACGCACTCTCTATTACTACGGAACTTCTAAGCGGCCATGCATAATTTTTTTCCCTTCTTGTTTTCTCATGATCACGAATTGATTTTCTCGTGATCTCGACATAACAAAAGTTGTTTTCTCATGATCACGGCTTTATTTTTGTCGTGATCTCGACATGACATAAAAGCTGATTTCTCGTTATCACGACTGATTTTTCTCTTGATCTCAGCAGTGAATGGGGGGAGATAATTTTGCCGGAAATGCAGAAGTAAGCCGTAATTTTGTTTTATTTGTAACTCTTTGGTAGATACATTTATAATTTCTATAATATTATTACTACTACTGTTACTACTAATAAAACAGATCTCTGGGGGCCCCAAAAGTGTGTGCGCCCTTAGAATCGTCCTAACTCCCCACCTCGATACAGGATTTTTTTGCCCGATTTAGGATTCCGTTTCTCTAAATTAGCTGGGGATGGACATGCTCTCAAATTAAATGCCCACAACAGGACTGTGCGAAGAATACGCCGGGGACTTTTAATAAAACTTTATAAAATGTAAATTTGTGTACCGCATTTGGTTTCTAGTAAGGGTGAACTTTTCAAGAGCCAGTGTGAATACATCTTGATTTAAATTAAAAGAGACAAGATAGTGTATGCATGTCCTGACGTTTTATTACTATCCAAAATGAGGCGATGTGAACATTATGGAGCGCTAATCAACATTCTCATGCAGTGTATGTTTAATTCATACCCGAAGCCGGAGGGCACTCTTGTGCAGAAAGTCCAAAACAGACTTCGAAGTAATGTGCCAGGAAATCCCTAATATGGACAAAGACATCCAGCCATCGCTGTAGCTAAGCTGAATAAAAAGCAGAAACTTTTTGACTGATGGAACACGAGGACAATAAATGGCTATATGAATAATCCGGTGCTAATTGACATATTTCTTACAGTAGTAGAAACTATAGGCCTAAGAAGTGTTAGTATACTGTATAAACCAATCATAAAATTGACATTAGGAAAATATAAAAACATTAGAGAAAACAAATTATTAGTTATTGTACAGCAGTGTATTTGCTTTCTTAGACAAATAAATGTAACAGATAAGATAAAACCTGTAAATTAGACAAAAAAAAAGGTACTACAGTACAAGGGCCTACTACATACTACATTTACATTTACAGGTCTTTAGGCTATATTTACAAGAACACCCCTGGGACTGTCTAATTTATTTTGTGTAGCAAAAGTTAAATGTGTCTAGAATAGTTAGCTATCCAGTTTTCAGTGACAATGGCATAAATTATAAAGCAAGTATAAAATTATGTTATTGGGTTTTCAGATATATTTGTACCAAGGGGGCGTTTTGTCCCACAGATGGAAAATGCCCCACAATGTGGGACAAAACCAGAGTAGTTTTTACTTAAAATGAAAATGAAAAGACAAGCTAAAATAACGTTAGGTTACTTGCGTAACCCCGGTTCTCTGAGAACAGAGCAAGGTATCTCACTATGGGAAACGCCCCAGGCGTGATAGACTATGGAAGCACCAATTACACCACGTCGGTCTGAAGGACGGACCAATCACAGCTCATGACAAGGAGCCCACCCCCTCCCTATATATATGGCTGTGATCCCCGAAAACGGCATTCTTGTTCTCTAAGCTTGGTGAGATACCTCGCTCTGTTCTCAGAGAAACGGGGTTACGCAAGTAACCTAACGTTCTCTTTCAAACAACCGCTCGGTATCTCACTATGGGAATGATATAGCCAACTCCCGAAACGCATGCTTTCCGAAGCCGCCGAACAGACCCGGCAAGAACGAAAGATAACCTTTCAATTCTCCATAGAGCCAACATTGAGAACTGCATAGTGGCCCATGAAACGAATAACTGATCATTCTTCCCGAATGATCATGTCCTTTTTACATAATAGCGTAACGCTTGTACAGGACACAAAGTGTGCAATTTCCGTTCCTCCTCCGAAGAAAAAGGAGGGGGGTAAAAGGCACGCAACTCCAAAGCAGAGCAGTTATAAGCTGAATCACTGACTTTGGGAATGAAAGCCGGGTTAGGCAGCAACGTAACCTTGATGTCATCCGGACTAAAATCCAGACATGCCCGATGAACCGACAAAGCATGTAACTCACACACTCGCTTAGCTGAGACTAAAGCAAGTAGTAAGACTGTTTTCAGAGATAGGAGCTTAATATCAACACTCTCCAGAGGTTCAAATGGGGCCCGAGTTAAAGCATTCAGAACCATGGACAAGTCCCATGACGGGACCAGATGCTTAGATACTGGTCTCAAACGCTTCACCCCCTTCATAAAATGGCATATTAGAGGGTGCCGTCCAACTGAGACTCCCTTGAAGCCTACATGAAATAGCAGCCAGGTAAACTTTAATAGTAAAAAACGCTCTCCCATTGTTCATTAAGCTTTGTAAAACGCAAAGTACATCGCTCACCGTGCACTGAGAAGGAATAACTCCGTTACGAGTACACCAGTCCTCAAACACGCCATTTAAGGCCATACAGTGAGCGCGTTGATGGAGCTCTAGCACTCTGGATAGTGTTTATAACCTCCTGCAGAAGCCCTCCTGCGTATAAATTTAACCTTTCATGGGCCAGACCCAAAGATCGACTCGTTCCGGGTGTGGGTGAAATATCTGCCTAATATCTAGACATTAGACTTAGCGGAGGGAATGCGTAAAGCAACACGTTCGGCCACAGGTGCGCCAGCACATCCACACCCAAAGGCGCATTTTTGTCCCTGAAAGAGAAATACAGCAGACACTTTGCGTTTGTCTGCGAGGCGAAGAGATCTACGGCAGCCTTGCCGCACATCCCCCAAATCTGATCCACCACCTGCGGGTGGAGCACCCATTC